TTCTTTTTTAAAAAAATACATTTTTATTGATTTCAGAGAAGAAGGAAGAGAATGAGAGATAGAAACATCAGAGAGAATCATTGATCGGCTGCCTCCTGCACGCCCCACACTGGGGATTAAGCCCACAACCCGGGCATGTGCCCTGACCTCCTGGTTCATAGGTCAATGCTCAACCACTGAACCATACCTGCGGGCAATTCTTTGATAGATCTAATAGTTGTTGACTTTCAGTTTTTCAGCTATTTTTTTGAACAGGAATGATTACTTCCAAGCTCTTTACATGTTAATCTGGAAACTGGAAGTTGTATTTTTCTTATTGGTTTAGGAGCTCTTTATGTATTAGGGAAATTAGTTCCTTATCTTTACATGAGATGCACATTTTTATATTTTGTCATTTATCTTTTGAATTTATGTTGTCCTCCCAGGCAGTTAAATAAATGTTTGTGTGTGTTTGAATTTACCATTTTCTTTTAGGCATTTGAAGTCTGTAATGCAATTACAGGTATATCTAGTTTTACTCTGCTGTGCTCTATTGTGTTCCTCGCATATTGTGTAGTTTATGAATTGAAGGTAAGACCCTCCACCAGCAAAAACATTAGGACCCACTGAAGGCTCAGAGGGTGGTTAGCATTTTTTAGCAATAATTATTTTTAATTAAGGTATGTACATTGTTTTTTAGACATAATGCTATTGCACACTTAATAGACTATAGTGTAGTGTAAACGTAACCTTTATAGGCCCTGGGAAACTAAAAGTTTGCATGACTCACTTTATTGTGGTATCCTGGAACCGAATCTGCAGTATCTCTGAGGTATGCCTGTAGTAAGGCCTTCACAACTCAGATTATAAAGGAATTCTTTTATTGTTTCTTTTAGTACTTATTATTTATTTTTATAGCTAAATATTTGGTCCATTTACATTTTATCCTCAAGTAAAGTGTGAAGATTAGGTACTACTTTTCTTCCCAGTTGTCTAGTCAGTTGTTTCAAAACCATTTACTTAGTTGTTCATTTTCCCCCCATTGATTGATTATCATTATTAAATTTCAATATGTATTGGGGTTTATTTCTGTAATTTTATTCTGTTATTGCTTTATCTCTTTTTCATATGTTAATATGAATAATTCATACAGTGATACCACTGTTTTAATTGTGATAGCTCCACAATGTTTAAAAATAATCTATGGCTAGTTACCCCTTTATTTTTCTTGTCAATTTCAAACATTTTTTGGTCAATTTAATTATATAAAATTTAGCATTAGTGTTTCTAATTTAAAAACTTGTTGGTACTTTTATTGTAACCATGTTAAGCTTTTATGTTAACTTAGAAATGAATGCATATTTATGAAATTGAGTTCTTTAAAATCTAAAAACATTATATACCCTTCTGTTCGTTCCAAGTTTCCCTTTGTGTCCCCTAGAGAGCTTAAAATACATTTCTTCATGTAGATCTTGCACATTTTTGTTCCTAGGAATCTTATCTTTTCTTCTTTCCCCTGTTGTAACTGGTGTCTTTATTTCTTCATTATGTTTCTTAACTGGTTGTTTATATATGCATATAATTTATTTATATCTATCTATTTTTTTGAAACATGCTATTTATAAAAATTTAAAAGTATATGCTTATTATAATATAGGGCAGTGCTGCACAGTGGGGGTCTGAGGTCTATGAACTTGGCTGCACCATTGATTAGCCCTGTGGCAGTAGACAAGGTACTTAATCTTTATAAGCCAGTTTTCTCATGTATCAAATGGGATAATAATAGTACCTACCTCATAAGGAACTTTTGAGGATTGAAAAGAAAAAGCACAAAGACACTTAGAAGGGTTTCTGGAATGTAGTGAGCAGTTCTGTGCTCTTACATTGAAGCTTAAATCTAGTGCATGGGAGTCAGATAGAGAACAGATGTCAAACTTCCCAACCAGTCCCCTCCAGCCACACTCCTCACTTTCTAAACAGTGCTGGACTGAACTGAGGGCTGCAGAGTGGGTGGGGGAATTAGGGGGATGGAGACATAAGGCTAGAGACCCAATTACACCTTGTTGTAGGAAAGGAATAAAATGATTTGGTGATTTGCATTTGGGGTGTCCAAGGAGATTGGAGGAGTAGATACATGTTAATGAATGAAACAGTGGAAGTGAACAGAGCACTTTTCAAATTGCCACCTTAAATTGAAAGGGTCTTGATAGCTTATAGGCCATTTAAACATACTTGTATCATAAACCCATCTTGGCAGCAGCTCACTCGGTCTATGAGAAACTTGAAATCACATGGAGTAAATGGGTATTGGGGAAGCCAGGTCCAGATCTGCTGATGTATGCTGATGCTCATTCCTCTTCATTTCTCTTTCCTTGTCATTTATTCCCATCTGAGTCTAAGTACTAAATTGTCAGCAGAAAAAACAGCGGACAAACTGGAAGAAGGGGAAACAAGAAGGATTAAAATATTTTGAGAGGAGAGAGCCTAAGAGAGCTTGGGAGCTGCAATAAAGAATAGTATTTGCTGAATATACTATGTGCAGAAATTCCTGGGAACTATGTTAGGAATAATATGATAACAGCAACCATGTCTTAAGTGTCTATTGTGTGCTGCCTGTTTTATGTGCATTTTTTATTTTTAATCTTCCAAGGCAGGTGTTATTATGCCAATTACACCACGTGTCTTTAGAAAGCCAGGCCTCAGTCTTCTTGGAGCTTAACATCAATATACTAATTAAAGAATACTTGTAAAACACACCTACAAGCCTGGACATAGGAGCTCCTGATCATGGCAGAGCTGGGAGGGAATTGTGAAGAAGTCAGCCATAGCCAATGGGGTGAGCTTCCAAGAAATGTGATGTGAGCAATGAAAGGAGGGACTTTGTTTTTATATGTGTAATAGGAAAGGAGGGAAAGAAACAGGATGGGTAAGTTAATGGGCAAGGAAGCAAGGAAGTCTTCCTGCAGCTGCAGTTAGGAATGCGGATGGAGTGTGGACTAAGCCAACTGCAGTGGAAAGGGATGCCCAGAGGAGGCTGCCTCTAAGTAGGAAAATGCTCCATCAGCTACTTAGCCTGTTCTCCCATTGCTGCATTGCTTTTTAAAGTGACAGTCACGAGGCTTCAGAATTCTTAAGTGGAAATGGTCTGGGCTCATCATTGGCCGACAGTCTAAAATCAGTTCTAAAGAATGTGGTGGGAGACAGCTGGTGGAAATTGCCCGTCCTTCCTTCAGTGGAAATGTCCACGTGCTGCTCGGTTGTCTCCTGATCAAGCGTCTCCCCCTCTCCATCTCTCTTGTCTGCCTGTGTCTCTTCCTAAGTCAGGTTTCATAAAAAAAAGTAATCACCCGGCTCATTGTACCCAAGTGGTCCAGGCATACCCCTGCTTAACCCAGAGCTGCTGGCTGCCCGAGATGAATGCAGGCTACGCGGATGGTTTATGAGAAGTGACACTTGCTTCCCAGCTTCTTGTATTCGCCACCGAGCAGTTAATGTGAAAGCCCACAGTGGACGTGACTGCTGGAAATACTGCGGGGCAGGGCAGGGCGCTGGTGCTTCATGAGCACGTGAGCAGGACATTCAGAGGCAGCCCGAGACACCCCATGATCCGGGACTGCGGCAAATGGGTGTGTGAATGGAAAGAAGGGAGGGTCACTTCGTCCCTGTCCTTGCTTCTCATCCGCCCCAGCATGTCGTCCTCGCGGGGGCAGGGTGAGGTCGCCCGAGAATCTGCAAATTCATCGCTGCCTTTCATCTCCCATAACCTTCCGTCCTGAGGACAGCCTGGCCCTTCCCCTCCAGCTCAAAGCTGCTGCTAAGGCGGGTCTGACTTCTCCCCTAAAAAGGCTCCGATTCCCCTTCCCGCCGCAGGGGTCCAGTCTTGGCTTAGACTTCGCTTCTCACTGCTCGCCCTGCTGTCTGGGGCTGCGCGCAAGTCTCGCCAAGTTTCCCCATCCAGACCCGAGAGACTGCTCCTTTCTAGGACAATGTGAACAAAGAGGAGCAGGGAGAGGGGCCCGCGGGCGGTTGCGGGGTGAATGTGAGTGTGTGGTGGGGAACCTCCTCCGGGACCCGTGCAGAGCGCACCTAGCCTGGCACCGCAGTGCCCCTTGCGGCTCCGGGCGGCGGGTTGCTTTGTCCCGGCCCGTTTTTTTGCGAGCAGAAACCCGAGGCCGGCTCTGGAGCCCAGGCTTCCACGTTGTCTCGCGGCCGTAGTGGGGACACTGGACTTGCTTCTCCTTATCCGAGCTCGCCCCGAGTAGCTTGGTCTGGGGACAGAGGGACCCACTGGAGCGCTCCCCTCCCTGACTCTCCGCGGACGCGCGCAGGTCCAATTCCGGGACCGAGGCGCGTCTTGGGCGCCCCTGCCGCCTGCGTCGCAGCCCCCGGGACCGCGCGGGTAGGACCTGAACAGCGCCCACCGGAGATGCCCGCCGGAAAGGCCGTTCAAAACCGACTCTGAGGCCCCACCTGCGTGTGTGCGTGTGCGTGTGCGTGTGCGCGCGTAATAGGGGTCGGGGGTCTCGTCCGCTCGTCCTTCTCACCTGCATTACTGTTTGCCTGGCAGAGGATTGAAGGAGAAATGCTATGTCAATTCAATGTCATTAAATCAGCACCCATCCCTCCAAACTCTATCAACTAAGTTGTATTTTTCATGTATCATTAGAGTCCACGCGAAACTACTTTCCCACTCCTGCCTGAACCTTCATCACTGCGCCGAGCCAGGTTTCGGGGTCCAGACTCCAGTTCCGCAGGAGAACTTAGAGTCTCAGGACTTGCATCCCCTGCCTCTCTCTGGGCGTCTTTGTAACGCGGGGTGGTCCCGGTGGTCGCGCCCGTCTGGCTGCGCCGGGCCTGCCACTGCGCGTCGGGAAAG